CCGCCCGCCCGGAACCCGGCCGCCCCGGGTTCCAGGCGCCGGGCACGCGCGGGAGGTCAGCCCGGCCCTCGATCCGCCCGCGCGCAGCGCAGCGCAGCGCAGAGACCCCGGTGGGGCCGAGGAAGCAGAAAGTGGCCTTCCCCGGCAGCCCTGCTGGGGACACCCCGAGTGCCTCGCGCCCGGTCGTTCGCAGAGGGAGCAACTGTTGTTTTTTCTCGGTGCACGTTGCATACATTTGCAGCACGTGCCAGGCAGTGGGGTTAGGACACATTGGCCTAGCCAGAGACTGAGAAGCATTTTGTGGAAGAGCTGAAGTACAGGACAAATGGCAATTTCCCGAGGTAGTCGCCGACAAAACAAGATGATGCTACACAAATGGTCTTGATTAAGTCAGTGGGCTACCCCTCTGCGGCCATCCTGTCACCTGTGGACAACTCCAGCGGGGGTAAAACTAAAGCATTGATTGCTCTAACGTGCTATAATTCAGTCCCAGCTCTGACTCATAAGATAGTCAAGCATCTGCCTCCCTCCCCAAGAAAGGCTTGCCGGAAATAGGCCCAGCAGGTGAGATGGTTCTCAACGCTTAATCCTGTTGACACAAAACAGCTTTCACTTGTGCATAAAAATTGGAACGTTAAACTGACCCGGCTAGTTTTATTGTCCAAGTTTAGTGAACGGAAGAACAAACACCTGGAAACAGAAACTAGAAACAAAGTTTTGTATGGTGTGAACTGTTGCAAAGGTTCATTGAGAATGGAGATGACTTCGTGACGACTTCGTGCCTTTTACTCCCACTCCCCCATCATCTGTAACCTAAATTTGAGGTACAGTTTAAGCTGTTACTCAGAGCCTCATCGAAACTGGCCTCTCAGAGTTAGCCCAAATTTTCCAGACGCCATTGTGGGGTACCAAGATGGCAGCTTCCAGCAGTTTGGAAATACCAGCTGCACTTAAATTCCCCATTTCTCTTAGGCATTTGTAGTGTACTGCTTAACAGGACTTTGGAACTCAATCACTGCTGATGTTATCAGGAAAACAACAAATATATCGCAGCACTTGAGATATACACCCAACCTAATAATTCTGTTAAAAGTAATCCAGTTTAATTGTCAGTGAAACATATTTCTCTCCACGTTTCCTTTTCAAATCTGCTATGAGACCGTCCGCTCCTTGAGTTGGAAGCAGCTTCTCTCGCTTGCTGAGTGAAAAGAGTAAAACTAGCAGAGGAGCGCCGCGGGAGGAAGATCAGATTCAACAGCGTTCTTTCCACTTTATTCAGCACCGTAACGCAGCGGGCCTGACTGCCATACTTTGCAAGTTCTATTGTTCCCTTGCCTGCGTGGCTCGAGGCCTCCGCTCTAAGTTTCTCGCGGCAGGAACATTCCTCGGAGGCGGAGCAGGCGGCGAATTAGCTTTCTTAGCTTGAGCGCTAAACTCCCCGCTTTACAAAGCGGGCTGGACGCCTCGGTCAGCAGAGGGGTGGAGCCTGAAGAGCCTGGCGTTCTTAAAGGGCCCAAGTCACGGGAAGCGTAAGGACGACGTATTGGTCTTCAATAGGATTTGCAGGAAATCTGCATTTTGACATGGGGCTGGTAGGCAGTAATCGTGTTTGAAAGACTTTAGAGGAAAAGTCATCTTCTAAAGCTTCCCTGCTGATGCAGATGGGAATAAATTGGAGATTTTTTTTTACCATGGTTTTTATTGTTATTGCAAAGCAGAAGCGTGTCTAATTTTCTACTTCTAAAAGTGATTTCCTTTATAAACAGGCCATTTATCACAACACTGGTTGAGTAATACCATTACAATGGAAACACCAGTTACAAAACCAATAATATCATTATAAAACTCCCTCTCCGCTTTCATGGGGAAATGAATCAGAAGAACAGACAGCAGTGTATGCTGCCGGGAGGATGAAGGGACTCATTTAGATAATCGCCTCCACTGGAAAAATAATGAAATTTAGCTTCGCCCTCAATTTAAGCCTCCCAATTTTTAATTTTAAATTAAGTTTATTGATACAATTTGGATATAGACAAAGATCATCTTCACCATAAGGAATTTGTACCTGTAAAGCCCCAAAATTTTATGAACAAAGAAAAAGATACCTTGAGACTGGGCATGGTGGTGCACACCTGTAATCCCAGCGCGTGGGAGGCTGAAAACAAGAGGATCACCACGAGTCTGATCTGTGTAGTGAGGCCCTGTAGACCCTGTACTAAAAACATAAAAAAAAAAAAAAAAAAAAAGAATAAGAAGAGATACCTTGGAGTATACTTACAAGGCAGAACGTCAAGATGCGTTTTTTCCAGATGCCATATTTGCACTGATTTGCTCTCACTTAAAAGTTTAGTGTTGTTAATAATACAACAGCATAAGTCGTGGAGAATTTCTTGTTAAATTTTTAATGCCTAGAAGTAAATTGCTATACACTACTAGTCCTATTCACATCAGAACCTAGTGATTTTGTTTTAATTTTCAATTCTGGATGGATTTGGGGGCTTCAGTATCCACTGTAAACATGTTTTACAAGAAGTGGAGGGTGCTGACACTGAGCTGGCTTTCAGAGTCCAAATTTGGGTGGAAGCATAGAATGTGACACTGGAGGTGCCATTTCTGTGTGTGTGTGTGTGTGCGCGCGCGCACGCGCACGCTCCGGGTCTCACTATGCAGCTCCAACTTGTAGTGATCCTCCTGTTTTTAGCCTCCCCAGCACTGGGGTTACAGGCACGTGCCACCATACCCAGACTCAGTCACTGGCTCAGTGAACCTGGGTGCAGGGCTGGCATGGCCTATGGTGCCAGGGATTAAACCCCGACCCCTGCACTTGCCTAAGCAGGCACTTAGTCTGCTGAGCTATCTCACCGGTCCTTAGGAGCCATTTCTTGAAAGGTAGTTGCTAATGTTTATAGATCTTTGACTTAGAACTTGAGTGAAGTCCTTGGGCCTCCCAAGGGAGTTCTCAACATCAGTAATAGCAACACTTGGGACTGGACGAATTTTTGTTGCAGGGAGTGGTCAAGGGTATCATATATTTAACAGCATTCCTAGCCTCTGCCTATGAAATGCCAATTGTACACAACCAAAAATGCAAATATCTCCTGAAGGACAAAATGCCCCAGTGGAGAGCTACTGATTTTGCAGGACAGTTATTTTGCAGGTCAAAGGCAGTCTGCTTGGGGCTGGCTTTTCTGGCCACACATTGATTACAAGGCACTGAATCATGCAGTGCTTTCCTCTCACTTCATCTTCCCAGTGCCAGCCACCAAGATCCTGGACCTAAGCTACGGCTCTTCCTGATGGGGTCCTTAGCCGCTCTGGTTCTGTAGCATGCTATATATATATATATATATATATA